GGCCGGGAGGGGCGAACCTCCGAGTCGAGGATGGTCGCCAACTTCGCGCAGGGGTTGGAGACCCAGGACATGCGGCTTTGGGCGCAAGGACTGCGTCCTCCTCTCGGATCCCCGACTGAGAAGGTGGGAACCCCCTTCCAGGTCCCCCAACCCTTGTTTCTCTCCTCTTCTGTTTAGGCCAGAGCCGAGCTGAGGACCAGAGAGAACCATCTGCAAAGACAGCCCCAAATCAGGGCAGGGGGCGCAGAACCAGGCCAGCAGACATCGTGACATCCGTGACATCCGTGACATCCGTGACCGGTCCCATCCTGGACCAACTCGCTGTGGTCTGAGAATGTGCGAGACTGAGGAAAAGGGCAGGCGTGGCCAGCTGGGGTCCTCCGAAGCAGTCTCAAGGAAAAGGGGGGGGGGTGGGGGGGGCTGGGGCTGGGCGGACCCAAGCAGACGTTTGGGCTGGAAAGGAGCAGGCTCCTCCGAGGGAACAATCTCCTTGACGCTGTCACCTCCAGAGACCCTAGAGAATAACAGTCTCTGCTGTCTGGCAATTGCAGAAATGCTTGCCGAGGCCTGCAAGCCTCTGTCACTCATCCTGACTGTGACTGAGAAGGCAGGTATGGTCACCTCAGAGGACCTGCAAATGAGACTGGTGGGTCAGTGCCCGGCCCACCAGGCTCAGCTAGTTAGTGGCTGCTTCTCGGTCCACCTTCCAGAACACCACCGCTCAGAGCGGCTGCCGTAGCCCCTCATCACCGCCTTATTCTGGTTGGAACAGAAGGGTAAGAGCTGGTGGGGGGAACGGGGCGGGGGGGGGAGGTGAGAACCCCAGGTCTGGCCACACTCTGCAGCCTAATTGTAAGGCCCTTTTCTTTCCATAGCTTCTCTTGTTCCCCCATTTATTTGTGAGTATCCCCAATCGACCCCTCCCTGCACTACCAAGGCATTGAAGAGGGAGGACCCATTAGTGAACGCTGGATTTTCCACAAGCCAGGCCAGGGGTCGCACGTGCCCCCTTCCTGTTCCTCCTGCCCTCTCAGGATCTGAGCCACTGGCAAGAGATGAAGCAGGAGCTGGGAAGAGCCATCCCCTTCCCCCAGGATGGCCTGATTCAAGCCTTTCTTCTGCCAAGGTCACAGGTGGGGTGTTTATTCGTGTGTTTATTTCATGTCCCAGTCAGGAACCCCTCCCGTAGGGCAAAGCAGGATCGTCCTTGGGCATGGTGGAAAGGGGTTCTGTTCTTGCCCACTGCCCTAGCTTCCAGCCTAACAGCCTGGAGTCCTGCTCTTGGGGTCTTGCCCTTGAGATTAGCTAGGACCCTGTTTTTTCCTTTTTTGGGAATATAATCCCTGACCTCCAAAAGAACAGTCTTTCCTCTTAAGAGCAAGCCTTTGCTTAGCACCGGCTGTGTGCCCACGCCACGCCCACCCCCAGAGACTCTGTGGCAGACAGAAGCGTCCTGGCCCCAAGCTGCTCAGCACCTAGCCAGGCACTGACACTCAGCACATCTGGAGAGGGGTTGCTGCCCAGCAGCCTGTGGGCCAGGTGTTTGTGCTTTCTTGGGCCCAGAACTGCTTCTTTGATGGGTAGGAAAGGTGGGGAGTTGTGCCCTGCAGCTGACAACCCAAGCAGAGTGGGGAGCCCCTGACACACTAGTTGACAAGCTGCGCTCTTACCCCCTGGGGTGTTACTGCCAACCATCCCCCACCCAAGTTCTGGTAGAAATAAGAGTAGGCTAAGCAGAACCTCCTCTCTGGAAAATGATGAGCTCAGCAAGCCTTTTGTCTCTCAGACCACAACTGTAAGGTACCCAGAAAAAGGAGAAGACTTCGTCAATTTGGTTCACTTAGCAGGAAGAATCTTCCCCATCAGGGTCCACAGAGGAGGAAATCCTAGAAGGGGTGCTTGGTGAGCCTGGGAACTGATGCTGTGGTGGGTCTGTGCTGCTCCCTGCTGGGCACAGGCAGCATGACAGCCAAGGGGAAGCATGGCCGGTGATGGAATCACAGCGGCAGTGGCATTTCTGGACTGTTGTCACCGTGTCACCTCCAATGGAGGGATTGTGCAGCCCGTGAGTACACGCAGAGCTCAGGTGACTTGTTCCTCTGAAATCTCTTCTCTCTCCCTTCTTGTTCACCATGACTCAGTTGTTGCCTTTTTTTTTTTTAAGATTTATATTTTTATTTATGCACACAAGAACTGGGGTACAGGCCAGAGGTGCAGGGGGTGGGGTGAGAGGATTCACCAGAGACAGAGTGAGCTGCAGAACAGATGGACCTACTGAAATACACTGCTGAGGGGAGCAGTGGGGAGACAGGAGAGGTCTGCTGCGCTGTGCGGGTCACCTCCAGGGCCAGGGGATCAAACCCGCACTAAAGCGGTTATCCCCAGCTTGCAGTGCTGTGCCCTAACCCGAGGGCCCTGTTGTTTTTCTCAATTGTGTGTGTGTGTTTAATAAGGTAACCTTGCAGCCCTCACTGGTGGCGCAGTGGGTTAAAGCACAGCACTAAGAAGCTAAAGCCACTTCCACAAGAGTTCGATCCCCGCCTGCCCCAGAGCTGACCCACATGGCGTGGCAGACCTCTCCTGACCCGCCCGCTGCCCCCCTCAGCAGTGTACTTCGTCGATCTGCCTGTTCTGCTCCCCACTCTGTCTCTGGTGAAGCCTCTCACCACCCCTGCACCTCTGGCCTGTATTTCAGTTCTGTGTGCATAAATAAATAAATCTTTAAAAAAAAAAAAAAACAAGCAATGTGTGTGTGTGTGTGTGCAGGCATGTACATTTGTTGGAGGGCTTCCACCTGCTCCACATTGTCTGGTACTTTGCTATTTTCATTTCACAACATATCTGCCTATATCAGATCTGTGTAGTCTTCCAGAACCCCATCGTATGTGTGTGGCACAATTTCTTCCATGCGCCCCCTCCTAGTGGATATTTATTTTATCACTATGAACAATGCTGCCTTCAGGAAATCTCCTGGTCCATATATTTGTTTTCAATTATGTGTCTATCTGTAAGACAAATATAAATATGATACTGCTGGGTCAAAGATTATGCACTTTTACATTTTGCATAGATTTTTCACAGAAATGCCCTCCAAAGAGTTTGGACAAATTTGCAGTCTCCAGAGCGGATGAGATCACCTGTCTCCCCACATCCTCACTAACAGGGCATTAACACGTCCTCAGGTCTTCAATGAAGCCTCTTTGAAAGTCTTTGTCAAAGCAGGTGATGATGCATCTCTTTCTTTCTCCAGGGCAGAGACTGTCTTTTCCATTTCTTTATCCCCATTACAGGACTTAAATATTGAATGAAAGGAAATGGGACTGCATTTTGACAGGCAGGAAGGAGGCAGGGGAGAATTAGGGTTGTCTTTAAGAGCTACTCTTGTTTCTAGGCCCTGGTCAAGCCTCTGCCTCAAAGCTCTCCTCTTAGAGGAGCTCCCAGATTTCCAGAGGTGAAGTGGAAGGCCCAGCATTCCCAGAGGGCTCACTCAGCGCCCCGCCTCCCAGAGTGGCCCTCATCACTGACCTGCCTAAAGACCGGAACAGACCAGGTGTCTGGCTGCAGGTGACCTGTTAGACCACGACCCCACAGAGCTTTCTGCCCCACTGGAAATGTCACCCCCCACGCTGCTCACTGTGCAGCCGCTAGCCAAGGCCCATCCGGTCTCCCTGCTGTTTCCCCGGGACCAGGGACAGCAAGTGTTCATACGTCTCCCTGTGGTCAGCGAGCCAACCCAGAGACCACTGTGAGGAAAACCAAGATCGGGCAAGCTGGGACAAGCAGCTGGCCTCTTGACTCAGTATTCAGTAGGACCTGGGTGCACTCACCCAGGCAGGTGGGAATAGAGAGAACCAGACCAGGGCCACCCAGGAGGCACAGAGTGCAGGTGTGAGGGGAGGTTCCATGTGCCATAGGGAAGACACGGACCCCACACCTCCTTCTGACATTGGTGGTCTAGGGCTGGAAGTCACTGAGTGCCCACTTGCAATTCAGCTAAATGCTTAAAGAAGATGAACCTAATCAACACAGATAGGTAATTCTTCTCCTCTCACCCAAGCAAATCTACCTTCAAAAGGACCTGGAAATCAGTTCAAATAAAAAATTCTGGCCCTCCCTGGTGGCGCAGCGGGTTAAAGCACAGCACTAAGAAGCTAAAGCCACTGCAGCCACTTCGATCCCCGCCTGCCCCGGAGGTGACCACATGGTGTGGCAGACCTCTCCTGACCCGCCCGCTGCTCCCCTCAGCAGTGTACTTCGTGCTCTGCCTGTTCTGTTCCCCACTCTGTGTCTGGTGAAGCCTCTCACTGCCCCTGAGCCTCTGGCCTGTACCCCAGTTCTGTATGCACAAATAAATAAATCTTGGGGGAAAAAAATTCTAGGGCCTCCCTGGGGGCACAGAGTTAAGTCGCAGCACTACAAAGCTGTTATCAGCCACTGCCTCACGAATTCAATCCCAGGCCGGCCAGGCAGCTGACCCACAGGGCGCAGCAAACCTCTCCTGTCTCCTGCTGCTCCCCTCACAGTGTGTTGCACTCGATCTGCCTGTTCTGCTCACCTGTTCTGTGGTGAATCCTCTCACCGACCCACCTCCCCACCCCTCTGGCCTGTACCCCAGCTCTTGTATGCGTAAATACATAAATCTTAAAAAATATATACTCTAGGAGTGCACTGAGCATGACAGTTCGGCGACAAAGGGGACACACACGCACACCCCAGACTTCATAGCCAAGCCAAGCCCCTCCGAACCCCAAAACAGAGCCCTCAGTCCCTGTATTCCTAGTGTTATGCACACTGTGGTGTCATCTGCCCTGGAACAACAAATTTGGGGTCCAGACTGTGCAGGCCATGAAAACAGGCGTGGGGCCCACCGGGCAGGGTAGCTGTGATCACGAGTGCTGGAAGTGTGGTCCCTTCCCACGCTATCCAACGTGGCAGCCTCTAGCCACAGGTGGCTACTGACCACCTGAAATGTGGCTCTGTATAAGCAAGGAATTTAATTTTTATTTGATTTCATTTTAAATAGTTTACATAAAAATTTTGTCAGCTAGATAGACAGCATTTCCATTTGCACAGAAAGTTCTCCTGGACAGTGCTGATCAGAAGGTGAAGCAGGGCTCCTGCGGGGCTCCTCACCTGGTGGACACATGGAAAGCTGAAGGAGGCCAGCGGAGGAACTCTCTCTTTTCTGATCAGGTCAGGAAGGCTTCACAGAGCAAGTAACATCTGATGGATTAGTAGAAGGGGGTGGAGAAAAGAAAGAGACTGGCCATTCAGATAGAGAAAACAGTATGTGCAAAGGCCCAGGGGCAGGGACTTCTTGGGAGAAACAACAGATTTTGGTATGACTAGAGTGAGGGACATGGGACTAGACAAGGGAGGCTGGGAGTCTGGAAGGATCCACAGGCCCAATCATGTCCTGGGGACATTCCAGGGGTATGAGACTTGAGCCTGGTGGCTTACTGGGTCAGATGAAGCAGGACATGCTCAGTTGAGCACATCAGAAAAAGAAGAAAAAGCTGAAAATCAATTAGAGATTTGAAGACAAGAGCACAGAGCAGGAAAAAGAAGTAGAGGGAATGGGGAGGAAGAGCTCTTTCAAAGGGAAGGCATGGCTTTGATGGAGGGGTGAAAAATAGCCCGTTTGGAGAGCAGGTGATGGGGGATGGTGGTCTCGGCAGGCTGTGTATGAAGGAGAGCACAGATTGCAAGGGCTGTAAACAGTTCACTTGCGGGTGGCGTGCATCAGCTGGGACAGCCCAGAAAGGAGAGCGGAGGTTCAGGGCAGCCCTCCACAGTCAGTGAAGAGAGAAGACGTGGGCCCTCTGGAAGGCTGAGCTCTCACAGGGACCTTCCGAGCACAGGCACAGGGAGATGACTTCCTGGAAGGGGAGGGTGGGGCAGGAGGCTCAACCTGCAAACAGGGACTGAACACACACACACTTTGCCTTCGGGGGGCAGACTCCCAGAGCAGCCAGCTGGCACTCGGGTGGTTGTGGATGAGGGAAATCATGGGCAGAGACTGGGGATGGCCCCGGAAGGTTTCGGGGAGCAAGGTCCCATTCTCTAAAGTTGGGAAAAGGTCAGGGGGTAATTAGGTGGCTCTGGTCGACTTCAACAAGAATGTTGTCTGGCTTCCCTGGTGGCACAGTGGATAAAGCACAGCACTATGAAGCTGTCTCCAGCCGCTGCAGCAATGAGCTCAATCCCCAACCAGGGAGCTGACCCACAAGGCACAGCAGACCCCTCCTGTCCTGCCCACTGCTCCCCTCAGCAGTGTATTTCAGTACATCTGCCTGTTCTGCTCCCCACTCTGTCTCTGGTGAACCATCTCACCCCTCCCCACACCTCTGCCTGCACCCCAATTTTTGTATGCATAAATAAATAAAAACAACTCATTTTTTTAAAAAAAAAGTATGCTCTCAGTAGGAGTCACTGAATTTCAAGGGCACACTTGGTGGCAGGAGGGAGAGCAGGGACGAGGTGGGGGCGCGTCCACGCTGGGTCAGCGGAGTGTAAAAAGCATACAGAAGTCACAGCGCCCTTCTTACCCTGAAAGAAAATCTGATCACAGTTTTCACAGCTAACTCGGAGAGGTTAATCCTTAGAGGACCCAGAGCTCTGTGACCCCTGAAAGTAGAGGATCCTTCCCCCTGAATGCAAAGTCCCCACCTCGTGTTCCCACTCAGTGTGGACCCAAAAGCTTTGGTCTGGCAACAGCAGACAAACCCCACATGAGGACCACTGGGCTACATCAAAAACGGGGCTCTCCTCCCAAACAGGCCGTGAAAACAGGCAGAGAAAGGAGCACGTGTGACCTGGTCTCCACTGGACACCACGGAGGGCCAAGAAATCGTGGCACTAAAATCCGGACAGAAGAGCAGCTGAAAGTATCGTTCGATGTTGTATCGTTCGATGTTGAGTTCCCCACGTGGAGCTTGCCCTGGCAATGCAGGAAAATGCCCTTGTTCTTAGGAAACACCCCGCTGAAGAGTTCCCCGGCAGTGCCGGTTGCCATTTGCTGTCAGTTCAGAAGTGAAGCTACAGGAAGACAGACAGACAGACAGACAGACAGACAGAGCCAGCGAGAGAAAGGGACAGCCGCTGCAACACGACACGGGCGGAGACACGCGGAGCCAAACTTCAACCACTGCTCAACCGGGCAAGGGGGTGTGCGGGATCTTTGTATGGCTCTGACCTCTCCTGAAGCTTGAAATGACTGATTTTCCAAATAGAAAATTGAAAGAAAAAACAAAAAACTCCCAGCCAAGAGTCTCCCGGAGTTGGGAGCCCCGGCCAGGGTGGACCGTCTGTCAGTGCCTGGGTGCACTGGACAGAATTAGGGGCACAGGTGGCCACCGGAAAGGCCGAAGCCCTACCGCCCCCTAGAACATTCCTCGCGGGGACTTGTTCAGATCCGACAGCTGGGCAGGCGCTGCCCCGCCTGGCCTGCAGTGACTCACCCGCCGGCCCGCCGCGCCCCCGGGCTGAGGGAGCCCCGCCCCGCAGGAGGGGCCCGGCCGGCAGGTGCCGCTGTTGAGCCGGCTCTGGCGACGCGGGCGGAGGCTGAGCCGGGACCTGGAGATGGACGGCCCGCGGAGGCTCCTGCAGAACCCGGCCCAGCGGGTCTGTGGGCATCTGGGGTTCCCACGGCCCCCTCTGGTTTCCCACTCCCACAGCCTCAGCTTCCCCGCACCCCTTTCCGGCCCCGACCCCGGTGGAGGAGGGGGAGGGGAGGGAAGAAGAGACTTCTGAGTAGCAGTGCTCCCGGTTTCTCAGGCCGGTGTCCCTTCCCTTCTGCTCTCCCTCGTCCTGCTCCCTCCCCTCTTTCCCCTCTTTCCCCCACCTTTCCCCCTCCCCCTTCTACCCTTCCTTTTCCTTCCCCCTTCTCCCCCTCTTCCCTCCCCCACCTTTCCCCTCCCCCATCTTCCCTCCTCCTCCTGCTCCTCCTCCTCCTGCTCCTCCCCTGCTCCTCCTCCTCCCCACTCCTCCCCTGCTCCTCCTCCCTGCTCCTCCTCTAGAGCAGCCCAGACTTTCAAAACAAATACCTCCTCAGCCCATCCCCAGCCAGCCAGCCTCCCTCCAGGAACTACTCCTAGTTCCCAGGTCTGTAGAGTCCAGGGATCAGAATGAATCCCTGGGAATGAACCGTGCCAAGGTGAGGTGGGTAGATGCCCTGTGATATTATTTCTACCTCTGTAGAAAGAAGTTGGCAATACCCTGTTACGGGGTTGACTCAATAGTAACATAAGAAGATGCTTGTATGGTGCTTGGCACAGTAGATTTACCTCTGAAAAAGTCCATCCTGCCAGAAGCCCCTCTGCAGTAGAGTGGACTGGGGTGATGGCAGGCTGCCTGGGGTGGTGCAGCTGGCCTTTGACGCCAGCTCTTCCCAGGCCCTCCCAGACTCAGGATGAAGGTCATTTTATTTTGTCCATCCCCTGGCTCCCGGAAGGGCTATGGGGCTGCTGAAGATTGGATCCTGTACTTTCACAAATGCCTTCATCAAACCTTCACTGAGCATCAGTTCTGTAGAGGGGCCCAGGGTTTTTGCCGAGCACAGAGCCCCTTAAGTTCCTACCAGGACCCAGGGTGCTCTCCTTTGTCTGAGACACTGTTCAGGCAGTTGTCCTCTGGAATCCTCCTGACACACACCCTGCGGGTTGAGTTCGTCAGCATGGGGACTACCACTGTGCCTCACCTGATGTCCAGTCCCTGTGTCTGTCTCACCACAGACAAACCAAATTCCAGTGATTTGACTTTACCCCCACCCTTATCAGACTGGGCTGGGGCCCCCTGTGACTGGGGAACATAAAGCCTGAGGGCCCTGCTCTAGCTTTCACAATGTGACCTCCAGAGAGTTCCTTAGCTTCTTCAGATTCCATTTTCTCATCTGTAAATCAGGGGCGCTGGCAGTTACCTCCTTATGGGGTTGATGTGATTGTAAAATAAGATGTGCATGAAGTGGCTACCACTGTACATTTAACTTAAAAGAGGGAAGTCCATCCCTACCGGAGCGGCTAAAATGAAAAATGGGGATGCCAAGTGCTAGCCAAGCAAGTGAAGCAAGGGAATTCGCATATTTCACTTAGTCGTTCTTGTTAAAGCTGAATATCTACACACAGCATGAGCCATCAGTATATCCCCAGAGATAGGGATATGTACAGGACCACCAAAGACACATGAAATCATTTTCATAGCAGCATTAATCATAACAACCCCAAACTGGAAACAATCCAAATATCCAGCAGTAGTAGAATGAACTAATGCCTTTTAGTATACATAGACATGCAGAGGAATACCATACAGCAATGAAAACTGACTTCAACTACACTACTCTGAGCAACACAGATAAATCTCACGGACATAATGTAGAGGGAAATGAAACAAGCACAAAAGAGGTATATGCAGCATATTGATTTTCATGGAAAGTTCCAAAACAATAAAGGAATCTGTGTTACAGGTCAGGCTAGAGAAATGATTAAAAGTGAGAGTCAAAGAGTTTGGGGTATCAGTCATGTTCTGTTTCCTTAGTGGGTAATTCCACAGGTGTGTTGACTGTGAAAATTCATTGAGCTGTTCCCATAATGTATATACTCATTTGTATAAAGTTATACTTCAGTAAAAAGTTTACACTAAAAAAAAAAGAGAGAGAGAAATGAATTTAGTTTCTTATAGCACATAAATAAAGCTTTACTATTCTGAGTAGATAATGATTTTGGCCATGCAACTCATAGAAATTTTAAAAGTACCTAATGCTCATATAATTTAAAACTACATTCCCTTGTAGTATAAATAACAGACATGCAGAGGGGTAATCAACCCCAAATACAGAAGGGGCTCCATTTTGGGGGCCATGAGGGGACTGATGGACTGATGTATGCACAAGACTTCAGTGTTTTTCTAGCTTAATTTCATAAGCTATGTGGTTCCTATCATGGGCATGGGTACTACTATTTTACTACTCTGCATAATTTATGCTTTTCTGATGATTGCTTGACATATTCCATGTTAAAAGAACTCATCATTGGGGACAAAACAAAGCAAAAACGAAAATGGAAGTGGGGAATTTGTATCTTACTCATCTTTGCCATTGTAGCACCAGCCCAGGCCTCAACCGATGTTTGGTGAGTGAAAGATATTCCACCGGTAAAGCACCAGAGCCAGGGTTCAATGTCAGGTCTTTCCATGCCCAGTTATGTTTCAAGACAGACCCAGCCACACGGCTCCCCACCTGCCCTAAGAGGGCGTAGCTGGGGAGAAGTAACAATAATGGTGGCCCGGCTGACGCAGCTCCCTCTGTATCTGAACTGAATTACTCAGTTGCAGGGTGCAGAGAAAAGAACAAAACAGCGTCATTAATCTGAACTCTGCAAATTCAGAATCTGGTGCCCTAAATTTCTACAAATCATACTGCCAAAATCTTTTAATAACTTGTTCCTTATCCAAAACCGTTTAAGATTTATCTCTATGATACACATAGCTCGATTCATTTATCCGTTTTATATTCATGCATTTGTCCTCTCCACGGGACAGAAAAAGAGCTTTCTAAGCCAAGGTTTGGTCAAAACTGGATGGTGGGCAGAGTTGGGTGGTGCTGGAGAATGAACAGCGGGCCTTCCGCACATTAATTCTTCGCATGCAAAGAGATGCGACTAATTGCAGACGCATTTTATCTGTTTGTCAGGCCCCAAGTGGGACGCAGCCTCTGAACAAAGCACTTCTCACCACTCAAAACCCACCGAAGCATGCCGGGCCTGAGGGGGCTTCTAGGAATGCAAACCACGAGGCGCTTCTGCACAGTAAGTGTAGAGTTAACCACATAGAGAAGCCGGAGGAGGTTCGTAGGCTCGGAGGACTGTTTTAAAGGAAGAGAAATAGATCCTACTTCTGCGGGAGGCTGATTATTTGCTTCCCTCCAATCAGAGACAGTAGTTTGAAGGGTTGCGAAAGATGCTTGTAGTGGGTGAAGCTGTGAGAAGCCCATCTGGTCAGCCGTTGCGTCACCGCACACCTGTCTGCACAGCTGCTTCCACGCTGAGATGATTAAGGCAGAGCCGGGGGCCCCCGGGAAGGTAGCGGTGGCCAGACTGCGGCAGCGAGTGCCCCTGTGCCTCTAAAACACTGTCCGCTCGCCCTCAGCCACACCCAGCCCCACCGTGCTCGCGTGCACGCGCACGCGCACGCACGTGCAGCATCAGGCTGAAATCAATCCAACGATGATTTATTTACTCCGTTACCAATTTCCTATTCAGTAAAAATCAATTTGCTCCAGCTCTAGTGTTGAATGCTGGGGTGACAAAGATGATATGGTATGGGGTTTCGGTCCCTCAGATCTCAAAGACAGGCCAACTGATAATAATGATTATGTGATTCAAGCGGTGATAGAGGACAACACTAAAGCAAGTTCCCAGGAGAAGGGGGTGCTGCTTATCCAACCCCAACCCACCCGGCCCCTCCACACTTACCCAGTTTGCCAGCCATGCCCAACACCCACTTCTCAAACTATGCCCGAGTCTCTGCCCTGCTCTTCTCTCTGTTGATAATGCCCTTCTCGGCCCATCTCCAGCTGAATCTCTCCTCCCTGGGATTCAGCGCAGAATGATAAGCCTCAAATTCAGGTGAGTGGTTCCTCTGGGAGGAGGCGATCAGGGAGGAAAACCCTGGGGACTATTTTTAATGCTTTATTTCCTAAGCAGGAGGTTCCCTGTATTAGTCCACATGCCTCTCTGTGTCTGAAATATTTCATCGTATTTTCAAAAGAGATTCAGTTCCAGCTTCACCTCCACCTTGATCGCCCTTGCTATTGTGGTTTCCATGTCAAGTCCAGCTCAGAGCCCTCCCTGGTGGCATGAGGGGTTAAAGACACAGCACTATCGAGCTATCACCAGCCACTGCAATGTCCATTCAATTTCCGGCCAGGGAATGACATGGCAGATCTCTCCTGTCTCGCCCACTGCTCGCCTCAGCAGAGTATTTCAGTGGATCCACCTGTTCTGCTCCCCACTCTCTCTCTGGTGAGTCCTGTCACCCCCACACCTCTGGCCTACCCCCCTGTTCTTATATGCATGAATAAATAAATCTTAACAACAAAAAAAAAAAGAGTCCAGTTCACGAGTCCCTTACTGTCAGTTAGGGCAACTTTGTGTTTCTAAGGATCCATTGAAGTGACTGTCACCAAGCAAGGACCCTGGTTCCCGCTTGCATGTCAACTGTGCTGGAGATGTGATGCTGCTGTTTCTCCACCTGCATGGTGGGTATGTGGGTGACTGTTTGCTATCTAAAGTATCATATGATAAACTAAAGATTTGAAAGGTAACTCAGTCTGGAGTGAGAGGAATAGGGAGAGGAAAGACATCTTAGAGAAGCTGGACAAGGAAGAGCAAAGAGGTGACTCTGCTCGGCTTGGCGGACACAGTGAATAACCAGGTTTGACTTGCTGGTGGAGAGCAGAGCCGGGAAAGAAGCAAGAGGCCGTGTCTCCCTTTCATGAGTCACATGGTGGTGGCTAAGAGCTGGGATGCTGGACTGGACTGTCTGGGTTTTAAGTCCCAATGAATCTCTTATTAGCCCCATAACATGGGACCACTTATTTCAATTCCCTTATCCTAAAAACTACCTGGGAAGGGGTTGTCTCCCTGGTGGCTTAGGGGTTAAGTCTCAGTGTATCACTGCTAAGGCCTGAGTTCGATCCCCGGCCAGGGAGGTGACCCACATAGCACCTGTGGGACCGCTCCTGTATCACCCGCTGCTTCCCCTCAGCAGTGTATTTCAGTACACCCACCTATTCTGCTTCCTGTTCTGTCTCTGGTGAATCTACTCACTCCCTGCCTCTCTGGCCTACACTCCAGTTCATCTATGCACACACACAAAAAGAAAGAAATGCTTGGAGGATCCAATGATGAAGTGTGTGAACTTTATAGTTGTTGTACTCACTAGCAAGTATGGAATATTACCATTCCCATATTATTACTTATCAGTCAGGAAATGGCCCTCCAGGAGTAATGTCTACCTCCAAAACTCCATCCCCCCATCTATGAAATGGGGTCTCATCATAATGCCGGAATAACTGATGTGAATCCAGAATGATCCATAAAGAGGAGTTAAAATTAAATAAAAAGCTACAGGGACAAAGACCACAGAGAGGACCAGTGAGGAGAGAGACAGCATCGAGCTGTCATGTCCCCAGTACATGACACAGCATGGACACCTAGTGTTACAGACTGAGCTGTGTTCCCCCAAAAGAGATATTGCAGTTCTAACCAATGCTCCAGACAGGAACCTTGTTTGGAAATGGGGTCTTCACAGAAATAACCTAATTAAACTGAAATTATTAGTGTGGGCTCTAATCCAATAGGATTGGTGTCTTTATAACAGAGGATATTTGGACACAGAGACACACCAGGGGGAGACAGAAAAGTCAAGAATGTGAAAGACTTAGGACGTAGCACTGCGAGCTGGCCACAGCCGCTTCAGTGTGAGTTCAAACCCCAACCAGGGAGGTGACCCATACTGCTCGGCAGACCCCTCCTGGCCTGCCCGCTGCTCCCCTCAGCAGTGGACTTTGTCAGTCGGTCTGTTCTGCTCTCCACTCTGTCTCTGGTGAAGCCTCTCACCGCCCCTGCACCTCTGGTCTGTACCCAGTTCTGTATGCACAAATAAATAACTCTTAAAAAATAAATAAATCTTTGAAGAAAAACAGAGAATGTGAAAGACTAGCAGCAAGCCACTGGCAGCTAAAGCGAAGAAAGTGCCCGTCCCTCTGGTGTCAGAGGGACCGTGGTCCCCCCGACATGTGAGTTCAGGCTGCTCTCCAGAGTGGTCAGGAAGGACCTTTCTGTTGTTCCAAGCCACATGTTTCATGGTATTACGGCACTTAGTTACGGGAGCCCTGGAAGACTAACGCTGACAGCAGCTGTGTGTGGGGGGGACACGGCGCCCCACTCCAGGCTTAGGCTCAGACTCGCGGGGGGGGGGGGACAGGCCTTCGCCACCAGAGCAGCGCATGTGCAGGTGGGCCGTGGGGAGGGGACGGCCGGGCTCATCAGCGGAAAGTCCTCCTTCCATTCTCCTTCAACCTGAGTTCTGCCCACCCCCTCAACAGCTGGCTCCCCACCTGGCCTGTGCACCCTGAAGACTGTGCCATCCTGGAGCCCACAGATGTGGGCATGAGTAAGGCACCTCCTACCTGGGGCTCCTCCGGTCATGGCAAGCAGCCCAGAGACAGCATTTGGATGCTTAGAACTGGTTCTCAGTCCTGCTGCATGAGCAAACCCTATAGAGACCCCAAAACTCAATGGTCTGGGCTGCAACCAGATGAATTAACTTTGAATTTCTGGGGTGACACATACACATGGGAATGTTAAATTTTGTTTCCAGGTGATTCCAGTGGGAGTCAGGTTGAGAAGTGGTCTAGACACCGGTGTCCTTCTGCAGGAGAGGGAAGCGGGACTCCAGCTGGATGGAGAAGAGCAGGGAAGTGAATGTATCAAAAGGCTTCTAGAAAGGATGGTGAAGGCCAGGGGTGGCGTGGGGGTGGGGTGACTGATTAATGGGAATGGAGTCTCAGACTGAAAAGATAAAAAAGTCCTGGATGTGGAGGGTGGTTGCACAGCAGTGTGAATGGACTGAATGAAAACATAAAAGTGGTTAAAGAACAGGAGGGAGAGTCACAGAGATTTAATCCAGCCTAAAGATAGGATATTAGGTAATGTCTAGAGTCTCTTGCATGTCTCCTTCCAAGATACCTATATATCTATTCTATATCTGCGTATTCATCTATCTATATCTTTTTATATAAAGACATGCTTGGAGGTGGAGAATCTGGAAAAGCAAATTTTAAATGTACACTAGAAAAATTCAAAAATCCAAGAGTATCCAGAAGTTTTTGGTAAAACAAGAATAGAGCTGTCAGATAGTAAAGCAGATTATACAGCTCTAATCATTTTTTTAATGTGGTGACTATTAATAAATAGAATAGAGAGCTGGTAGAATAGAAAACTTGCAAGTGTGTGTGTGAAGGTTGTTTCTGATTAACATAACCACATCAGGTGGTGGTGAAAGGATTTCTCAGTCATGTGAGGACCACAGTTTGTGGCCATTTGAGGGAGGAAAAAAGCCTCGAGCCCTGGCATCCTGTGAGGAGGTAGCAGGGAGCACCAGCCCAGGGAGAGGCAGTGCCTAGGCTCTAAGCCCACTGAGGTGATGCCAGGGGGCAGAGGCTTGAGAAAAAGGCCTCCTTTTCAGGTTCCTCAAACTGCTAAACATGGAGCTTCCCTACGACCCAGCAATCCCACTCCTAGGTATCTACCCAAAAGACACAAAAACACTGATTGAA